AAAGAAAGAAAGAAAGAAAGAAAAAAACATTACCTTCAACAAAATCAGTGGTCGTATACGAAAGTAACATAGCTTGTTAGTGTACCTGTACATAACAATTAAATATACACCAATTACACATACACTGTATGACTTTTCAGTTCACATAAGATATCTAAATCGTTTGGAGAAGGGGACAAACAAATTAAAAAAATTAACTAGATACCATATACCTATACTGTTAATTGTTTTATAGAATGTGTTAAAATTTTGAGCTTTTTCCTCAAAACAAATCAGTAAGTGAAGATATGAAATCCTGGAAAATTTATTTTACGGAATGAAAGATGATGATTACAGAATTCTAAGTATATATGTATAGTATAAGTTAATAAGAAGACATGAAATTCATAATTTAGGACCGACTTTAAATATAATTACAGAATTTTTAATTATCTGTGTTGAACTTTAACCTATGGTGTGTCTTCTTTAGAACTGAGAGCTACGTATATTTAATTAATTTAACTTGCACCACTAATCTACAACAACCACAGGGAGGAAAGGTTCGTATTCACTTCTTCAATCATCTCCCTAGTAAACCACAACCTACAATAAAAGTGTACATTTTCACATCGTTTTTTCTTAACAATTGCAAACAATTCATGATGTAAAACTTTCCACAATCATTTCGCTGTGTTTTAACATTGCCCTGTCAGCAATGTGATACGGTTATCAAGTCCCCAGTTAGTTCAAATGGTTGTAACAATAAAAATAAATACAAACATTAATTCATACTTAAGTTATCTACAGCAAACTTAACATACAGCAATGTTTAGGCATGCATTAAAGTCCATGCATTGTCGGATATTTTTGACGTTGAGCTGTCTTGCCCAGGTGGTTTTTTTAAAACAATAATTTCCTATTAAGAGTAATAGGCTGCAGGCCCGTTCTGATCAATAACACCAGCCCACCTATATTTTCATAACAGCACTGACAGTTTTCACAAGCCCTCAAAGTAGAATTTGTACACCCTTGGTTACTGAAGTCTGATTTAGACCAAATATAAACTTACAAGAACAAGCAAATATTTCTGATATTGTCTTTACTGTTTAACTTGTACTTAACACAAATGCCGAGTAAAAACATGCATCCTGTGAAAGAGGGAAAATTCCACTAAGTAATTCAACTTAAAAAGCTGAGGTTAGATGCATTACGAGGTGCATTTGTCAACTGCTATCTGTTTAGCTACTAATTTGGCACCGGAAATATCCATGATGCAATTTTTAATACTATATTAGGTTCAAGATGACGATCCATCATTTACGGTTCCATCACCAACGCACAACACATTTTTAACCGTTCCAACCCTAGTTAATGTACTAATAAAAATATTTTGTGTGAAAAAAACACCTTTCACAGCATATTAAGAAATGACTTTGTGATACAATCTACACTTAAAATGTCCACCTTGGTACAACCTATACGAAGAGTTGGCTCCCTTCTCCAACCTCTACTAAGAGTTGACGGCCGCCACTTGCTGAGGAGGAGTCACCAGGTACTCCTGTCCCGTGACGCATGGCACCTCAGAAATGAAGGACCCCCCTGCTGGGCTGCTGGTTGCCATGGTGATGGAAGTATGAACAGATTGAACATCACCACTGTCCTTCAACAAGTCTTTTGTCTTCTCATCACTGGACGAATTGTCAAATTGTGGAGAGTTATTGCGCATAGTGATATCGGTGGCGGCACTGACCACACTACTTACAGGCGTGATATTGGCTTCTGTGGACAAAATGCATAGAGATTTCTGCTCTCCTTTTCCAGCAGTTGGTGTTTTTAAGCTAGTGAAACCTTCCAATCCACATTCAAATCCAGACAAATCTGATTTAGTCAATGAAGGTGACGTATCCATGCTGGTAATCTGTGGAGAAAGGGGGAAAGCTGCATTTTCTAAACCAATCATTTGTGATGTAAGGAGATTAACCGCTGAATCTGTGCTGATTTGTTGTGTAGGAGCAGAAACTGCTGCTGAGTTACATAGTAATTCAATATAATTTTCTTGAGAGTCTATCGGGCAATGAACAGTCCCACAGCTACTGTCCACCACATTGCCTGATGCAGCATCCTTCCTGTCAACCAGCGACACGAGAATGTTGTCAATCATATTGCACGCACTCAGAGTGTTTCCATTCAGTGTGTTTGTATTTTCACTAAACTTGTCGACTGACCTCTGACCTGCATCAGTATTTATACTTTGCTTATGGTCAGTTGTCTCCGACATGTCAGATTTTATCACATCCAGCTTTGGATCAAAGTTTGAGTTTGGAGTTGGTCTATCTCCAGGTTCAGCTTGTATTAGACTTGCTTCAGTTTTCTTGACTGTGTTTGATACCTCAACCTTTATTTTTTCTGAAATGAAATAATTCACAATCCTGAATATTGTGTTCAGATATAGATAAATAATAACAGCAATGAAGGTTATAGTTTTCTTCATAAAACAATATCGAAAGTAATGGTTTTGTAGTTATTGAGGAATGTGAGGAGGTGGAGAGAGAGTGGACAAGATTTAATCTAAATTATGGCATGACACCATTTTGAACGCATGAGCTCTCCGATGCTTAATATTACAAGATACCAAGAGTCTTCATGACCATAGCTCACTGCCACTGAGAGATTTCAAACTATAAAGAAAGATTTGGGAACAGAGTCCAAATTTCACAGACTAGAAATACACCTAGTTGTGAAGACAATCCGGAAGTGGATGACTGAGTGTTTGTGAGCAGTACGTACCATCTGTGTTCTGTGCTGGCCG